GACATAGGCTCTGGCAATGTTGCAGCCAGACTGGGGTCGGCTGCCCCTGGCTAATTCCACACTCCCCCTCAGGGCCTACTTGGTGTCGGCCTCTGGGGGATCCAGGACCATGGGTTCGTCAGGGCAGGGATTGATCGGTGCGTCCGGCAGCTCCTCCGGATAGCGGGCGCAGGGCAGGCCCAGCGGCCGCCCTGGGCCGCGGAGTTTTCCCAGCCACAAGCTAGGCTGGAGACGTCTGGTCTCTCTGGCTGCTGGGGTCTTACTGAGGGCGAGCCTTTATACTTCTGGGTCGCTGCCTGACCCTCTGGGGGGTGGGCTCTGAGCTCCCTCACTCCGGCCCGAGGCGGCGGGGAGCCACACCGGCTCACTACACTCCCCGCACAGTAACTTGAGACCATTACTCCTTGTTCTGTCGTCTGGTACCACTGAGAACAGTCTAGATCCTCCTCTTTGGAACCCCCTTTCAGGTAGTTGAAAGCAGCTATCAAATCCCGCCCTCATTCTTCTCTTCTGCAGACTAAACAATCCCAGTTCCCTCAGCCTCTCCTCATAAGTCAAGTGCTCCAGCCCCCTAATCATTTTCGTTGCCCTCCGCTGGACTCTTTCCAATTTTTCCACATCCTTCTTTTAGTTTGGGCCCCAAAACTGGACACAGTACTCCAGATGAGGCCTCACCAATGTCAAATAGAGGGGAATGATCACGTCCCTCGATCCGCTAGCAATGTTCCTACTTATACAGCCCCAAATGCTGTGAGCCTTCTTGGCAACCAGGGCACACTGTTGACTCCTATCCAGCTTCTCGTCCACTGTAACCCCTAGGTCCTTTTCTGCAGAACTGCTTCCTAGCCATTCGGTCCCTAGTCTGTAACAGTGAATGGGATTCTTCCGTCCTAAGTGCAGGACTCTGCACTTGTCCTAGTTGAACCTCATCAGGTTTCTTTTGGCCCAATGCTCTAATTTGTCTAGGTCCCTCTGTATCCTGATCCCTACCCTCCAGCGTATCTACCACTCCTCCCAGTTTAGTGTCATCTGCAAACTTGCTGAGAGTGCAGTCCACACCATCCTCCAGATCATTAATGAAGATATTGAACAAAACCGGCCCCAGGACCGACCCTTGGGGCACTCGGCTTGAAATCAGCTGCCAACTAGACATGGAGCCATTGATCACTACCCATGGAGCCTGACGATCTAGCCAGCTTTCTATCCACCTTACAGTCCATTCATCCAGCTCATACTTCTTTAACTTGCTGGCAAGAATACTGTGGGAGACCGTATCAAAAGCTTTGCTAAAGTCCCATCCACTGCTTTCCCCTCATCCACAGAGTCAGTTATCTCCTCATAGAAGGCAATTAGGTTAGTCAGGCACGACAGACGCTTGGTGAATCCATGCTGGGTGTTCGTCAGCACTGTCCGCTCCCCTAAGTCCTCCAGAAT